TTCTTTGGCTCTTCCAACTCTGGTCGCGCCTTCTATGTTTGCGACATTGCAACTCGCAGACGTTTCCTGGGGAATACTGGAGCCCAAATCATCGTTCTTTCCCCAACTCCAGCTGATCGTCGTTTTCCCAGCCCTGATCTTCACCTCCAAGCTGCCAACTCTTCCTCCATTCCCACATTTGGCAGTCTGTCCCTCACCCTGAACATTGGCCTTTTGCGGTCGTTCACCTGGATATTTGTGATTGTTGATGTCCCTCGTGCAATCCTCGGCTCGGACCTTCTTGCCGAGTTCGATCTCGGCAAGCGTCGGTTTGTGGAGATGTCGGAAGTTGCGGCTGCCTAGGTGTTATCCACGAAGACGATGGGCTCCATGATTAGTTTCGCGAGCCTTCGCTGGTGGTTTTTGTACTTGTGGAGGTGGTTTTGACAAGCTCGTCTGTGTTTTCACCTGAATGACGTCCTGTGGCCTATGTGTCGCCAAAGCTAAGTTATAATTCTCCAAGGTCGGATGGCTTACGTAGGCCCTGGACGCACGACCGCAATATACCCATTTCTCATCTGTGTGTTTGGGAAGCCATGTGGAGCACATTAAACGTCCCCATAACTGCTCCCCTGTCAGCTCATAAACGCTCATAACTTGGCAATGTCCTTTTTCAACCTCCACAATCCTATGCGTAACGTTCTTAAACGTTACCTCCAGTACACAATCTCTCAGTCTTTGCGGATTGTTCGCGGTTGTTTCATCTTAAGTCCTTTCGATTTTATTGGAAATAATCCACATTCAACTTGGCTATGTTTAATACCTTTTGAATATTTAGCCAGCATGAAAGTCGATTTGCGGTGCAATTTTATCATAAATTGCTTGTTAATTTGGCGCAAGGACAGTAAGTAGTGGACCCCACTTAGTAGGGCAGCGCAAAATATAAAGAATATAAAATGCAGCTCATGGTAATCTGTAAGAAATGCCTTCCCAATTATTTTATTAATAATAGTATAGAGAAACTGTTTTTAATAGTATCTAATTACTTACTGAAATCTGAAACACCTACCAAGAACGTGAAGTCGGTTGGCTTTTTGGCTGGGCTTCTAAGATAAGGTGTAGGTGTTTGTAAACTGTTTGACGTTGAGCGTAGACAGGGCTGTATCGCAGACCAGATCATGCAGAGTCCTGAACTCTCAACACTTCATTTCACACGCGTATATTCAAGTAAACAGAAGCAGAGGTCAGTGCTTATTTGTGCCATGGATAAGCTGAATTTGCATTTTATGGCAGGCATCCAGGTGATCGATACAAAAATGCTGTGATGAATCTTTGTAACAGAACAGAAGTCAAATATCACCTCTGAAAATGACCATAATGGACATACTGACAATGCGGATGCTTGAGGCACCTCTGGTAAGATGGGATGTGGCCGTTTCTGCTATTCAACATTTTGGGAAAATCCCTTGATTAAGGAAAACACGAGGAATGAGTGCAAGAAAGATTTTATTGAAATTAAATCAAGCGACTACATTGAGAATGGGTAACGCTTTTGCTGAATGCGTATTACTAACTCGGAAATTAAACCAAAGTGCCATTGAGAAAGGTCTGCACCTTTTCGAAATGCGTTCTCGTTTCGAAAAGATAAATCTAGTAGTGTTGTAAAACTAATCATGATGCAGCATAAATCTATAATGATCCAGTTACCTCAGGGTGTCGGTTTTCGAAAGAACTTATTTTCGGCTGCATGCAAGATCTATACCCTGCAAAAAATTACTACTTAAGTAGCATGCAATTTTCTCATCGATTTTCGATGCCCATGAAAATTCAACTATATTTCATGAAAAACATGCATAAAAATCTCCATTCCTTTACTTATTCAGCAGAAAATCACGTCTTCTTCCAATTTCATACTCAAAAGAAGAGTATAATTCGGTTTTAAAAAAGCTTATAATTGTGAGATTTTTTAATACCGTTCAATAGCCGTTCATGAAACGTCATGTATCTGCATTTACGAATGTGGCTAGTAAAGTTAACAATATTGCTCAATTCCACTGCTTAATTTTTTGAACCTCATATGGTCTCCTCTTAACACCGTAGAGAAATGCATGGTTTTCCGTACACGGAAAATATACAGCTTGTAGTTTTAAAACCCTGAATGCAAGTGTAACAGCAGGTCGGGTTCAAAATTATTCGGGAATTAGAAAAGTTTTTTAAAACCGAATTATACTCTTCTTTTGAGCATGAAATTGTAAGAAGCCGTGATTTTCTGCCGAATAAGTAAAAGAATGAATATTTTTATGCATGTTTTCCATGAAATATAATTAAATGTTCAAGGGCATCGAAAATCAATGAGAAAATTGCATGCTATTTAAGTAGTCATTTTTTGCAGAGTATAGATCTCGCATGCAGCCAAAAATAAGTTCTTTCGAAAACCGACACCCTGAGGTAACTGGATCATTATAGATTTATGCTGCATCATGATTAGTTTTACAACATTACTTAATTTATCCTTTCGAAACGAGAACGCATTTCGAAATTTTGATTGACATTTCATGAGTTAGCACATCTACTGTATTTCAAGAGTGTGATGAAATGTAATTGAATCTATGACTCCGTGGACGTAATTGCCACTTTTATTAGGTTGATGACTCTATTTTAGTAAAAGAAAAACTGGATTTCGAAATGTAACTTAACAAGTTTTTTCTCAGGTATGTAAATTTCCAAAGACCCCAAGTGAATGGTTGGATCGGCAAGTTCGCGAGTATTACGCACGTTTTTAATTATTTCTCGCCAGCACAATAAAACTTTCAAAATAACTGCTAAGCGGGTTGTTAAATATCAGGTCCACCCTTCGCAAATGGAGGTAAAGAAGTGAGGAAGGCTTCACCTACTCAGGCGGGTCGAGGAGCTCAAACTCTTAACTTGACAGTACTGACATAGGGATATCTAAAATTACGTTTAGAAAATGAAAAACTGCCCTAGTTGCATTATCGGTACATGTTAAAAGAGGAGCTCCTCACTCTTAACAAGTAACGCTACCACCTTGGGAAGAAAGAGGTCTGCTTTTTTTCCTTGGGGGCATCTAAATGAAAAGGGTAGAATGTAAGCTCAAGGATGATGGGGCTTGCCTGTTAATGTCTGAAAGCAGGCACTTGTGGCGGCCGCAGACCATTGGGCGGCGATGACTCAAGATTTGACTGACCACCGTAAGCAGATTGGAAAAGTAAAAAGTGCAACAAAACGAAAGCGGTCGTAACAGCAAGTAGGGATCCGCTGACAGGCTTGAATGGGCTTAGGATGTCGCCCTTGATAGTTCGCAACAGGCAGACTGTGTCCCTTCAAAAAGCTGACAGGCCCTCGTTAGTAACTTGATTGGCGAGATTTAAAAACAAGACCCGTGCAGCTTCTCACCAACGCTGACGTTCCAAAAGGCTGCCCTCTCTGAAAAGTCCTATAACCATACCATATCAAACTTCTTCACTTACCCGGAAGTTAATGTGGGAATTAAATTCAAAGTCCTTGGTACAAGTCCTTTCAAGTTCATTTCGAAAGTTGATATGGGTATCTGGACTGAAATACATCAGCCTCAGGGTGAAAATGACACAATATTTATTAGCTAACGGGCATTGCTTAGGATGCAAATATACGCTGAGGTTGGTCTACTGTACTCCCAGAAAAGATGCTACTTAGAAAAATAGTCGTTTGGTCAGCCGATTTTATGTGGTTGCACGCCACGTCTAAAAGCGTCTTTGCTTACCCGGACGTCCTGTGGCGTTCTCCATCTCTTTTTTCGGTCACTTGACTCCAAGACGCTTCACTAATAAATGCGAATTTATTAGTTTAGCAATCAAACATGGAGTCCGTATTAGCAAATATTACACAGAAAACACACTGAAAAGCCGAACTCCTCCCCCATACTTGTCTCAGGAGACTGCGCAAAAATACCAAGGCAAGTGTTTTGTATTTCAGTTAATGCTTCGGTGGGGAACATGGTAAATCAGTCTCAATGTTTAAAGTCTCATGAAAATAGTCAAGGTGTCCTTAGGCTGCCGAAGGTGCCAGCGTAGCTTAATGCCTTGCTCAAGACCCCGAGTGTGGTCATAAAATTGCCGACTAGAGAACTCGGTCGAATCTTATTTCGTAGCCGCACCTGGAGTGGACAAACCCCGGCCGCCTCTCATAAGGGGGTAAAAGGGGGTTTAACATTAACCCCAACCCCTGAACCCAACCCCTATCTCTAACTTTAACCCCTAACACTAATCCCTAACCATAACTCTAGCCTCTAAACCCTAATAGGCGCGCTTACGAAATAAGATCTTACCGAGAATCCCTCCGGAGAAGTGCAGCTTACCCAGTAACCGCCTCCTTCGGCAAATTTTGCTTTAAATTGGGTTCCACGAAATCCGACATGATGTTGATGCTCCCGCACTGAAAATAAGGTCTTTCTAATATCGAAATAAATTACATCGTTGTTTACAGCTTTTGAAACGTGGTATATATTCCCTGGAAATGTCTTTCATATCGTCGAACAAGTTGGTAAATATCAAGGGTTTGTAGTGCATTATGTAGCTCATGAAGTCTTGTGACCAAAATTTAGATAATCATTCCGAGACACATCGAAAATCGCCCGATTTACTTATTAGCTTAACGCTTTGCGAAAAAAATCTGTTTATATGCAGACTATGAGCCTCTCGGTAAGTTACTTTGTCATTTGAGAAGCCTTAAAGAACAATTATTTGTGTGTGGGTGGACTGGGAGCATGTCATTCATTGAGAAATGTTCTAGCAAAACAAGATAGTGGGTAGAGTCCTCAAAGCGACCCTAATGCATCGCTCAAATGGGGTGGTTCCAGGGGCCAGCGCACTCAAGCATATCGGAAATAGACGTGAAAGCATGTCGCCAAGTCGTTTTCGAGATAAGGCTCGGAAACCGATGGTCTGGGTGGGACCGGAGACGGTGCTAGAGACGGTGCAGAAGGTTTGTGGAATCCTCGATCGCATCTCGCGGGACTAGCGAAATCATCTCACTGGACCGAACACCACTTCAGCGGCGGAGCAACCAATGTCCGACTTCAGAGAGGAGCGGATGCCCAACAAGACCAGGGGAGATGGTCCGCCCAGTCTTTCGGGTAGTCTGCGACGCGTAGGAAGGCCTGCAGCTGGCGGTGAAATCGTTTGACTGTCACGTTGACTGCCGGAGGATGGGCTGTCCGTGCGGATGCGAGTACATTCTAAAGAGACTGGAAGAGGTTAGATTCAAACTGGGCACCGCGGTCAGTCGTAAAAGTGGAGAGTGCACAAAAAATGGCAACCCAACGATTGAGGAAAGCCCTGACGACAGTCAGAGCAACGAAATCGGGCAGGGGGATAGCTTCCGGACAGCGAGTGAATCGATCCACGCAAGTGAGGAAATAGGAACAGTCATTGAACAGAGGCAGGGGCCTACGTACCCAGGTGGACATGACTGAACCGTGCATCCGGAGTGGGGAAGGTGCCGGAGTTGGAGTCCGGAAACGTCCCCATCACAGGGAGAACAACACGACGTTGTTCGGCTGCCATCTCAACTAGGTCGATCCCACGAGAAAGGTGGAGATGTGCGATGGAGGGTCCGGACAGTGCATCAGCCACCTCACTGCGTGACCCGTCGATGTGGCGGATGTCTAAGGTGAACTGCGAGATGTAGTCCAATTGACGAACTTCCCCAGGGGCTGAGCTTGTCGGAAGAGGACTTGAGAGCGAAGGAAAGAGGCCTGTGATCCGTGAACACAGGGGAGTCCCTGCCCTCAAGGAAATGCCGGAAGTGTTTTATGGCGAGGAAGACAGCAAGGAGCTCCCGTCCAAATGTGCTATAGCACGTCTCGGCAAGTTATAGCATCCTGGAGAAGAAAGCTAGGAGTTGGATGTTACCAGCAAGGTGCTGTTGGAGAACAGCGCATACTATAACATCGGAGGCGCTTACCATGAGGGAAATGGAGACTCGGGAGAAAAATGCGTCAAGGGGGTGTCGTCAGTCAGGACAGCACTCATCTTATCAAAAGCAGCGAGGGCGTCTGCAGACAGCTCGAACGAACCTTTTGGACCCGAGAGGAGGTTTGTGAGTGGCATGATGGTGTCTGCGCTGTGTGGGACGCATCGGTGGTATAATTGCGCTATGCCCAGAAACCGTTGCAGTTGACATTTGGAAGAGGGAGGTGGGAAATCACCTAGAGGCGCAACCTTCGATGAAAAAGCATGGATTCTGTTGGAGTCAACCGGATATCGAGAAATTCTAGGAGAGCATACCGAGTACGCACTTGGACGGGTTGAGAACACCGCCAAATCTTTGAAGGCGGTCGAACACCGTTGCAAGCTACTCAATATGTTCTTCAGCAATAGAGTTAACTACCGATAAGTTTGTTGATATAGGCGTAGACAAATAATGGGCCGCAAAACACTCTGTCTACGGACTTGTCAAAGGTTGGGAGGCGTTACGAAGCCCAGACGACATGCACAGGAACTAAAAGAGGTTAAAGCGGTGGTGACAGCCGTCTTCAAAACGTCCTCTGGGACGAAGGAAATTTGGTGGGAAGCACGGACCAGGTCAGTCTTTGAAAACGCTGATTTGCCAAATAGGGCACCGGCGAAATCCTGAAGATGTGGGACGAGGTAGCGGTCTGGGACTGTAACATTGTTCAGCAAAGACGAAGACCTAAGGGAAAAGACGCCGGCGGTCAATGTCCAGAGAGTGGGAGCAAATACCGAAGGTAACGATTGGTGAGGTGTTGACGGCCTGAAGGAAAAAGTTGGCATTGGGGCACCGACGATCAGTTACTGTGGGCAGAATGGCACTCAGTTGCGCCAAGAAACGCCTGCCACTTCGTGTGTCACGGGCATAAAATGTGCAAGCAGAATTAGAACTGCCATGAAGATCGGCTGCATTAACCTTCGGGCTGATCCGTTTGACCAGTTTGCTCTGCTTGGAGTCGAAGAATCAGGCAAAGATGCAGCGAAGGGATTTAGCCCCAAAGGTGGTGTAATACCAGCAGGTGGCGGCTGTGTTGGAAAGGGCTGAATGTAGAGACTGGACATGTGGGATAGACGACTTCGACTGGAAGCGGTATACTTCTGGAGAGATGTTACGTCTTCGGCCAGCTGTGTATGTTCGATCTCCAATTGCGAAAGGGGCGACGCAGGAGGAGTTAAAGAGGTTAAGAATGCTGAAAGTGACGGTTTGGAAAAACCGTGCATCTCCATAAGCTGCTCGGCCATTTAAGTAAGTTTATTAGTCGAAAGAATGCCAAG